ATAAGCGGTGCACAGACGTAGTTTTATGTCTTCTTCTTCTTCTCGACTACGCGTACATCACTTTTACTTATAGCGTTACTCCAAAGTAGCCCTGTTACTTACAGCGTAAAGTGAAATATCTATTTTTTGTAAATTCATGAAAATAGTATTTACAACACATTTATTGTATTTATATTGAAAATTATTTTTTATCAATTCTAATTTATTATATTTATTACTTGTCTTTAAAATATGAACTCATTTAAATTTTCAATTAATCCATAATTGAATTTCAATTAACAGATGTGATTACTCCTAAATTGCACATAATACACTTTGTGTGAAAACAAAGTATCATTCAATTTCAAGGTTATGTATTACGTTGTGTTTTTCGGGTTACTCCTGAATTGCATTAATTTTTAATATTTATTGAATAATGCTTGTTTTTATTTTGAGTCATTTTATGTGTCTTATAATATAGTTTTTTCACCATTCGTTCTGTGGACATAATTGCAATTTGTTTTAGGAATAATGTCTTTACCATTCAATGCAAAAATGTTCTACGTACAGCACATTTTTTATCATATTTGTTCTGCCCGTAGCACATTTTGCATAGAATGGTGAAGATATTACTCCTAAAATACACATGAACAATCGATGCATGTATAAATATTATGTGCAATTTAGGAGTAATCATATCTGCTCTATACGGAAATTCATATTTGTTCATATTTTATACACAAGTATCAAATATGATTAAAAGAAATTAGTAAAAAATATCAATTTAGAAAAAGTGTTGTAAATATTATTTACATGAATTTACATAAAAAATAAGTATTTCAATGAGGCGAGTATTTATGGTCGTACTCTGTGTGACATATTAAAGTATGAATCAGTACGCGTACGTCATTTGGATTCGTAGTGCTCTCTGTGCACCGCTTATGCATTTTGTCTCTTCATAGGCTTAGCCGGTTGGTTATACCATGGTAGAATTGCAATATTTGGCCAATTCAAGAAAGATTATTGAAATTTTCCAGAAGATTTGCTACCACTTCGAGAGAGAAAAAAACAAAAGGACACATAATATGTATAGCAGTAATGTGCGAGCTACATTTTACAGGGGGGGTGATTTTTCAAAAACTAAAAATTCTCTCATTTCAACAACAAATTTCGATTTTTTTGCTCTTCACTTTTTTGGCGAAAATTCTTAACAAATTTAAAGAATTTTCTCAGCCAAAAACCCTAGGAAATTACAATAAAATCGTTTTTTTTTGCTCTTTACTTATTTCGTGAAAAACCCTAGCAAATTCGAATAATTTTTTAAAAATTTTTCTCGCCAACACCACAGTCGTAGGCTACCAGATGATTTTTTGAACAAAGAGGTAACGTTTGTGCATGTGTACTTCTCCGCCGCATGTTCCCCTTCATTTCTTTTTGTATACATTAAAAGAAACAAAGGTCTGACGAAAGTGTGAAAGAGTATTGTATACGTTCGCTACACCTTCGTCACACTCTCGCTATACTTTCAATGCAAAATAAGCATTAAGAAATAAACATGAAAATGAAGGTGTGAGCAAAGTGTAGATAAAGTGTACGGTGGTCTGGCATGTTCACGCGGGATGTTATATTTTTGTGTGAAAAATAGTCTGTGCAAAGTTTCACGTCATTAAGGTAGCATACAGGCATGGCTCTCATATAAAAATCCAAATTCTTTTTGATTTTTTTGAGGAAACTGCATCAAAAATTTATTGTATCTTAAAAATAACCTCGGATTCGGTTTTCTCGTGCCAAAAAACCCCCAATACATATTTTTGAGTGTTTAAGTCTACATTAAGTATGACTTTTGGACGAAAATTGGACTCTTTTTCATAGGTATCACTCCAGGCATGGAATTTTTTTCCATCAACCAAAGTCGCTCAAAATCTGATGATTTCTATTCCTGGGTACCCCCAATCATCCCGTGAAGTCAGATTTCAAATAACTTTTCTGGGTGGTGAGAAAATCGATGGACAAATTTTGCGTACGGCGGACAACGTACGACGTACGACGTACGACGTACGACGTACGACGTACGACGTACGACGTACGACGTGGAACAGACCCACAACAACCATGCTCAAAACGGCCTGATTCGGGTTCTCTGACCTCAGAAACGTCCAGAAAACATGTTTTTAAAGTTTCGTAAATTTTGACCAATTGCAATACTTTCCCCTTTCACACTAGGTGTGTGCGGAAAAGTAATAGGTTTTTATTCGGTTCAGGCTTATATCAAGGTGACTCTTGACAGACACGTTGAATCATAACTTTTATAGAGTTATTTCTTTGATAAAGAAGAGATAGCCTCTTTTTTTGTTTTGAACAGCAATGCTTTTATGAAGAATTGTAAAACTCTTTTTTTTTTCAAAAATCTCTAGTTATTTGGAGATATTACAAGTCATGAATCAGTCATTATTTTATAGATGGGCAGACTTTTTCTGAAGAGAGATGGGCTTCAAATAGAAACTTTCCAGGGAGGTGGGTTGACCAGCGAAAAAAAATTGAAAGAATTTTCATCCAAAAAACCGAAAAAATGAAAGGGGTCAAAACTAATTTTTTTCGTTTTGTAGACCGAAGCAAATCCCAAACACGGGTGTGAGAGGGGGTGTTTAAGACGGAACCACTCCACCCAGCTATGGTAATTCCAAACCTAAAAGAAGTTCTTCCGATCGTATGGAGCAACGGTTTTTGTATTTGTCCAGAAAGCATTTCAATCAATGTGCCTTCCATTTAATGCGAAGTAATTTTGCATTCAATATTGTTTGAATGTGGTTCACGTGTTTGTTACGATTTGAGTGCATCAGGCATTCAAATGATTTTTGACACATGCTTACTCAATTGCGTGTTTGAATAAACAAAACAAAATGCGAATGATTCTTTACCCAACAAACGGTATTTATATTGCAAAGTATCATTGCTATTTGTTTGATATCAGTGGTTGAGTTAGTTTTTTATCACTGTTTATTCAAACATTTGCTATTTTTCCGAATCCATACCACACGTGGGTTTTATTACTTTGCAGACTGCAGTCAATTTCAGACAATATATTTAGCTGTCGTCATCTGGATATTACAGCTCATCTGGATATCGTCAGCAGATGATGCGAATTGAAAACAATAGAAGTGATTGTTATAGGTATATAAGCTTGTCATATACTGGTATTACTATTACAATCACTTCTATTGTTTTCACTTCGCATCATCTGCTGACGGCATCCAGATGAGCTGAAATATCCAGATGACGGCAGCTAAATATATTGTCTGGTCAATTTGAACGAATCTGTCTTCTTATTTGTAATTTTGAATTAATTTTGATTATTTCTTTTTGAATCAAGCATGTCAACTCAAAGTCAAATAGAATAAAGCTATCCTTACGGTTATACGCGAAGAGATATTAAGCGTAAAAAAGTGACAACGAGCATTGTGTTCGCAACGAGCAATTTCTTTTGAAATCAAGTGGAAAGTAATTAAATTCGCCGAAGGTCTTCATATATGAATGCTACATTCTTAAAAGCTTTAATATCTATCTGGTATTAAATATATACCGATTCTACACCAGTGTACTAAATGTATCCTTCTATTTTGGTTTCCATGTAAACAGTTCATATTATTTAGAACATAAACAAAAGTGACATTTGAATGGTTTGACGTGTATCTGTCATTCACATCCAAACACACATCAAAAACGGTTTCACATACAGGAAATATCAATTTTAAATTACTTATGCTCTGATTTGGTGTCTATCAAATTTATTCACTTTTTCGAAATAATAATTAAAATAAATAAATGAATTACATTTCTTTTCTTTTTTTCTTATCACCAGATTTTATATTGAATAAGAAAATCACATAGAAATACTAATGCCAAATTGTTTGAAAGAAAAGAAAAGTGAATAACGGTTTGAATGGCGAAAGTAAAACAGCATTGAACAATTTGACCGTTTGAGCCATCTCAGTCCGACGTAAAATGCATGGAATGTTGAATACAACAGATAACTGATTGCAGTTCAAATATTATTATCAATTTGAAGTTCGAACATGATGAAATGCAGCGTCACACAATAATTCCATCCTTATCAGCGCTATCAATTACGTAGCACGACCCAGACGATGTTGTTTACACAAAATGACGACAAAAAAGTTTTATCAATTTGAAGGACTCTGATGTAATGAACGAAATCCAATTCAGTCGAATTTGTTAATGATAATTAAACGAGTTTCAAGTCGTTTTTGGTTGAGGCAGCTCATGGTCAGTACATTCAATTATCAGAATAATATCATTTTGACGAGACATTCGCAACTATGCAATATTCGGAGAATTTAATCCAATAGCGACAACAAATTAATGATCCATTTTTTCTATGCAAATTGAATGCACTCACTTTTCAGTCGAATTCAAATTCCGTATAAACAAATCACTTGAGACAGAGAAAATATACATTTTCAGTGCATGATTCATTTGTTTTGGATACAGCTGATAATCAAATCATTTGTACAGACACTTCATTTGGTGTCAACGACGAATGCGTTTCGCCACAAAATTCATTCTGATTCCACACAATTTGATTTTGGCTCTGTGAATGGGGATAGAAATTCACACGTTTTTTACAATGGGTTGGATTTGATGAATTAAAATTCATTTTAAATGTTAAATTTAAATATTTTTTCAGATTTTTAAATTGTGAGATAATTCTGAATGTATTGTAATGTATATACGTGAAGGCTGTTTCATTGTTTTTGCACGCATCATTCGCCAAACGTATGAATAAACGGTGATAGATAGAAATGGAAAAAAACTTGTTTGAATTATGTTTGGTGTGTGTTGTAGTTTGTTTGCATGCCTATGTTTATCTCTAAGCGATATGTTGACGAGGCACCGTATCGATGCGGTGCGTGTAAAAGTTTAAAGTGGGATTATTGTGGCGCATATTTAGGTTTATTCGTATCGCTCTTCAAATTCATTATTTGTTTACGCTTCACCAATCGCCAATCACCATTATCAATATCAATAACTATGAAGCCAGTTAACCCACATAATAATAGCACAGTTTCGATCGAAAACTCCAGAGAAATAGATGCGAGTGAGTGCAACGAAATGGATGATGCAAGTCAATTGTAAGTATTTCATTTGTGAATATTTTGAAGAAAATTTCCATTTTTTCAATTTGAAAATTCATTGTTTCGTCAGTTCATACGATCTAGTGCAAGATATTGCCAATTACTTGTTGAACAGTACAGCACATCGTCCAAAGGTTGGCATTATTTGTGGTTCTGGGTTCGGACGTTTGGCCGAAAGTATAGAGAATGCGATTAAAATTCCGTACAAAAGTATTCCACACTTCCCAGTGTCAACCGTGCCAGGTCACTTGGGTCAAATGATATTTGGCACACTGAACAATGTGCCGGTGATGTGTATGCAAGGGCGTTTTCATTACTTCGAAGGGTATTCACTGGCCAAGTGCTGTATGCCGATTCGTGTGATGAAATTGGTCGGTGTCACGCATTTGATCGTAACAAATGCGTCGGGCGCTTTGAATGACCGTTACAATGTCGGCGATATTGTTATTTTAAAAGATCACATCAATCTAATGGGCTTCATTGGTCACAATCCCTTGAGGGGCACCAACGATCCCCGGTTCGGACCACGATTTCCATGCATCAGCAAACCATACGATGACCGAATGAGAATGCAAGCCATTGATATTATGCGGGAATTGGGCATCGACAGTGAAGTTCATGAAGGCGTTTACACGTGTCTAGGAGGACCGAATTATGAAACCATCGCCGAAGTGAAATTATTGAAAAGTTTTGGCATTGATTGCGTTGGCATGTCAACGGTACATGAGGTTAGTACACATTTGCATTGAAGTAACTGTAAATCATAATTGAAACGATATGCTAATTGCAATTGTTTTCATTCGAAATTTTAATTTAATTCATAGGTCATCACGGCGAATCATTGCGGTATAAAAGTGTTTGCATTTAGCATTATCACGAACAAATGCATTGCGGAATATGAGAGCGAAGAGACGGTTGATCATGACAGCGTCATTGAGGCGGCCAATAATCAACAGAATTTCTTAGCCGAATTGGTGCATCGACTCGTGGCTCAAATTGATTCTAACTGACGGAATATCGAAGAATACATTAATAATAACCATTTGTAGTGAAAATTTGTGTAGTGAAAACATTTTCAAATCGAATGTGTAGACCAACCTTATCTTTCCATTCAATTTTTGAATGAACCCATATGAAACCTCAACGCTATGCGCGTCAAATCGACGTTATTCGACGCTATTCCATGTGTATATAGAATTGTACATTATGTTTTACAGTGCTGTGCAAGCATGCGGCCTTATACACAGTAACACACGAACTCCGTTTATGTGCGCGCGTTGCCTGTTATGTTTTGTGTATTGAATTGCGACTCAATCACAGTAGACGGCGCAGGCACTGTAAAACATAATGTACAATTTAATATATACACATAGAATAGCGTCGAATAACGTCGATTTGACGCGCATAGCGTTAAGGTTTCATATGGGAACTATTGAAACATTTTGATAGACGATATTTGATGAATGAAAGAAATGTAACATTTTCAAAATGAATAAACGCCAATGTGGATCAAATAGGTTTTATTTTCATAAATTCGATATAATTCAGGGAAAATCAGTGGAGCTTATGGTTTTCGGCACTTTGTATGTTTTTCAATGATGAGAATATCCATTTTCATCGAAAATAAACGTTCCCGTGTGAACTTCGGTGGAAAAGGTATGTAAACGATGGTGTGTTATGGTGAATCTGGTGAAAAGTATGATGATAATTTGGTTAATGGTTTGATTTGCATACTTAAAATCAATAATATTAGGAACGTTATGAACAAAATCTATTCAAAATCTACATTCGGTGATTTCCAACAAAGAAAATAATTTTCTTTTCTCTTTTAATTTTTTCGAATGCAAAATATCTAGCAAAATATGCATTAGGTTGCGAAAGGTTAAAGATTCGTTAATTTAGATTCAAATGAGAAAGTAACATAAACAAAAATGACATTTGACTAAAATCACCGGGGCACATCACGGGGGACGGCAGTCCCCCAAGTGACGCATATGAAATATGTATACTTTACGTCACTCTATATATACGTTAAAAAAATGAAAATCAATACCGCTGACTTTTGGAAAGGGGTTTTGCATATTTTGGCTTGAAACCATTCTTTTGGAATAATATTTCGAAAAAATTGGTTTTTATTCGATTGCTATGAAAATTGGTATTTGGGGGTTTTTTGATAAGAGAAAATCGAATATGACATTTATGTTGCAGTAGAATTCGTTCATGGTACATTTCCTATACAAAAATCTTCATCTTTTGCCATTTTGAACATATTAACGGTAACAGAATACTATCAAAACTATTGATATAAGTAAAAAACACTTCTTTCGAAGTTCCCAGTGTGACGCAATACTATAAATCTGAAAATGTTCTGATATAAATTTTCAGTCACGCGTTCACTCAAATTTGTACAAAATGTTATTATTGCGTCGCCTCTTTCGCCGCAAAAAATATGGAAATGTACACTCTTTGTAAAAATAACTAAACCGTTCTCCCATTTATTACTTTTCTGCACACCTAGTGTAGGAAAGGTATTGTATTAGGCCAA